ATCAAAGGGTCAAATATTGCAATACTATGTTCTTCAGTTTTCAAAGTCTCTTAGTTTTGTTGCCTTTAACAAGTACATTTTCTGTGTGTGCATGCAAATCTAATGAGGATGAGAATTACATAGTGAATAAGGTCTGTATAGCTAATTTTAATATTTAAGGCAAAGTTTCTGGAATGCTTTACCAAAATGTTTTCTGAAATACGTATTCTATGAATTTCTTTAATAGGTTTATTGTACTTATATTGCTTCTTGCTTATAGAAACTTTCCTCAGATAAGCTGCTTATTTTGTAAACATTTTTGGATCGTTCCGAAGAAAGTCAAAATGTGGTAAGGGTAAATATTGTCAGCAGTTATGGACTACTTTAATGAAATGATTCATTATTTTGCTTCCAGAGCTTAGGAGTTTTGCTATGAGTGACATGCTGAATGGCCCTGGTAACATTTCAGTACGCTGATCTGTCTAAGCTGGTGAAAGTTGTGTTTTCATCAAGTATGCAATAATTGCAGCTCTTTGTTGAAATACGGGCGCTACAGAATGGATGAATTTCAGGATATCCTTTACTAAGGATAGGAGTGTTTCAAAGTTTGCTCACAAATCAGCAGGATTTTGTAATGAAATAGTTAACGTCTTTCATAATGAAGTGATTCTCAATCTTAAATGTTAACTTATTGGGATTTGTAAACTCTTACCGGGTAAAGTGTAAGGATAGAATTTTCAAAGGGGATTTACTTGCTCAATTTCTATTACTAATCCTTTAGGCAGTATTGAAAATCTCAGCCTTACATCACAAATGCCTCTGAGAAATCAGCACGTTAACATAATAGGTGGTGAGGCAAAGAGGAGGGATGATAGTTTAGTTCTGCAAAGAATACATCAGAAAAGAGGAGCAAGTCTGGGTGCTAATATGTACAAGATGCACTATATTTAATAGAGGATTTTATCTTTCCACTTTCTCCTCTTTTATATAATTATTTATCTTCGGGCTTGATTTGCACAACTTCGTGTTAAGTGGTGAGGACAGAAGGGCACCCTCCTTCCTTTTCTCTTGTGATCGGTATTTGACTGTCTCCTGAATTCTGCCTCTGCCCTGGAAGCTGGGGAACAGAACCTCGTTCATCTTCTGATGTTTTGTGCCTACCTATATGGAAGAGCAGAAATACTAGCCCCAGTGCTGATGTGTCTTTGTAATTTAGATATTGAAATAAGGGGAAGGTTCCTGACAGCTGTCAGGACTAAGTTAAGGTCATGCTATTGGACACAATCTAGAAGGAGACACTTCTGGGCAGAATTACGTGGTCCTTACCTTACAGACAAAGGTATTTGACCTTAAAACAGAAAGTGTAGGCATCTAGAAAACTTTGCATCATCAGGCTAACCAGGGATGATCTAAAGTTTCAACTTTTGTAGCAGTGAAGTAACTAAATGTGGTGTAAGTCTCTTTGAGATTCTGAGTTTTTGTAAAAGTACATAAAGGGTTCAGTCCTGAGGTGTACCTCAGGGCTCTCCCAGAATCCATGTGGTGAATAAGTACAACAAATCTTTAGCATGTGATAAAAAGAGAGAATATCTGAATAGGCAGGTGAATGGATGCTTTCATCTGAGCGTATTTAAAAATACATGGAATTTTCTTATCCTCTTCAGCAGAAACTGAACTCATATCCAGTTTAAAGGGATTGAGAGAAATATTTAAATATATTCAGATATTCAGGTTTGAATTTAATGAGCCTCAGACTAACCTAAGACAGGAAGAGGATCTGTTTGGCCTGTAGATTTAAAAAAAAAAAACAATACATACAAAAATTTTTAACTTTTCTTTTTTACCAACTCTTTAAATGTAATTACTCAAGTTGAACCACTGAAAGAAGAGAGGAAAGATATACACTAAAGAAGTCTTAGAAACTATGAAAGAGAAAGGGGAGTTGTGGCATGGAATAACAGAGGTGCCAGAGCCAGAAATGCTGACATCCAGTGTTGATTTGTGGTTATACAATGCCAAGAGCATATGAAGAAGAATACACAAGAATGAACAGCAAATAAGTGCAGTGATGATATGAGAAGAGAATATTTAACATCTTCATTCCAATCTTATCTGGAAACCTTTTTGTAGACAAATACAATTGCACAAGTTTCTCAGAAACGTAACTGAATCAAATGAAAATGACATCCGGGTCAGCAAGGCAGCACAGCCATCAGCAGTGTGACCACGTAACAATCCCAAGAACCGTTCTAACACTGCCAGCATGGCTGCCTATAAACCTTGCCAAGCAGCCAGGTGCTGGTGGAAGATGAGGACCTTCCACAGTTGACATGTAACTCTCAAGAGGGTAGTAATAACATTCTGACTTTATTTTAATGACTGAATTGAATTTTGTTGAATGGTTGAATTTAAATTGTCATATATTCCTGCAAGTGCTATAGTAATAAATTTTATTTTGTCGTGTTACTTAATACATCTTAATCGAATAAGAACGTTGCTTTTTCTAATTGACACAGACACAACTCCATCCCTACTCCATTGCGTGCCTTAACTAAGATTGCATTCACTTTGGAAGGAAAAAGGGCAAAAACTTGTTTTTTAATGTAATTATACTAACAAATATTCATTAATCATAGACATAGCATCAAATCAAGCGTTCTAAAGTTATGTTGAATTTTTGGTAGCAACGCATGCTGGGTACTTTGCAACAATATAGAAGTATCTAGTTATCATTTAAAATGAATGAATATTCCACTCTATTATGAATTATATCAAAGATAGTGGTATGTAACACACAGTTTTTCCTCCAACATCTGCCAAGGAAAACTGACATTCAAAAGATACTCTCTTGATACAATTCTGTGGAAACCTGTTTTAGAATATCAGTTCCTGTAAAATAGGAAATAACACAACTAAAAGTGGTAAAACAGGCGATATTCCATTTCCAGCTTAGATGTAAATGCTGTCAAAGTAGAGTTTAAGGTTGGAGTGAAAAAGAAGCAGGGAATGAGGTAGAAAATAAATTGCTTAGCCTCCTTCATGAGACTAACTCACGAGTGAGATAAACTTTTTAGTTTATCTCTGCTTTCTCTGACCAGTTTAAGTCTACAAAGACTACAATACTGGCTAGAGAGAGGTATACCCCCTTGTCAGCTATCTTGATAGAGCTGATGAAAAATATCTTTTTAATTTTGTGAACAGGAAAAAATGCATTTGAAAAGAAATAAGTGAATGAAGGATCCCCCCTTCCATATCTCTAGCTTCCTACCTACTGCCTTCTTTGCGGTGTTTCTACATCAGTTGAAGTAGAAACATATTTAGAGATATCTAGGTGATAGCTGCGGAATTTGTTGGTGTCAACACTGGGACATTGAAAGGATCATACTGAAGGGATATACATAACTTGCCAGAGACCAGGAAATGGTCACTGTTATTGAGTTTCTATTGACCCATATGGGAATAGAAGATGAAAATGAGAGAAGCAAAGGGGGATGGAACCGAAGAAATAACAGCTTGCACCAACTGTTTAACTTTCAAATTTTCTTTCATTATATATCACAAGCAGCATAACTACCTTCTTCCATTGTTTGTGACCTCTGGAGGTACTTTTGTAAAACAGCATTGATATTTAAAGACTAAATTAAGTCAAAATATTATGAAGAGAGTATGCCTCAGGGCAAACCTAGGATGAAATTTCTACTGGATATATTTTGAAAGTTTCAAAACATTGATTTAAAAAATAATAAGATTTCAAATAAGTAGAAGAAAAACTCTTGTACAGCTACAAAACCTCATGGAGCCTCATACCCAGACTATGGGATTGAAAATGTAAAGCCCTCTTCTGCGGTAAAGCTTCTCAGAAAAATTTCTGACATATTCACTAGAGCAACTTTTCAGGAATATTGCTACTAATAAAAAAATAGCCTGTGAAATCAAAGTCATCTTGTTCAGCATTGGCTCATAGCTCCCCAGGATGCTGACCTTGTAATGTTCAGGCAATGATTCTCCAAACCCACTCTAATCACAAAGCAGGCAAGTAAGTAAAGGTATTGGCAGGTGGCAGTAGCTGCTATACAAGCCTGACAAATGTGCCCCTTAAAATTAAGCAGCTTTCCGAACGTCCCACAGAGCTGTCACTTGTAAATATGGATAAGATTTTATGTTTCGTATTCACATTTTCAAAATGAGAGCATGCCAGCTACAGATGAGACAATGCAGAGGACTTCAGATCTCTGCCATTATAAATTGTCTTTTTGGCAGGTCTTTTTACATTACTATAGTTTATGAGAATATATGTGAGAAAACTACATTTTTCATATTAAGGAAGATTCATTCAGTGCTGATCTGAAAGCTAAATATGACCTTTACTGCAACATCAGAGTCTGTTGCAGCTTTACCATTGTCTTATCTGTACCCAGGAGAGAAAAAGAGAAGCTTAAGACAATGTCAGAGGTAAATCCTAAGTGGAAATCATGACCTACATGTTGAAATTTGACTGGCAGAACATAGTTTAAAAAAAAGTGAGAGCAATAACTGATTGAAACACTGAACTTTCAGGTATGCTGAAACACTCTAACATTCGTTATAGCTAAAATTCCAACTCAAAGGACTATCCTTTAATCTGTTTCATATTTTTGCATATGTATGTCATTTTCATGTATCTTGAAGCACCACAAGTTTGACAGCTCCTAAGTAGATTCTTTCTATAATACAGCTTCTTTGTGTTGCCAGATTGGGCTTTCAGCTGCCAGACTTGACTTTTTTTTGGCAAATTGAAATTTTGTGGTGGCATGGAACCACTAGCTCACCTTTGGTACAGCTATGGCCACATAGTGGAAAAGAAAGTATGAACACGCTGTGTTTAAACCCAGGGGACTGCCTGCTTGCCATAATGGGATCTAAGCAGTGGAGGGCAGACTATGCAGTAGAAAGACATGGGACTCATGTCCAGCTTCAGCACTGGTATGCCTGACTATGGAGGATGCTTTGGATAACTGCTCCTTAATTCTCTTTTTACTTACCTCATCTCTTTTCTGAATGCAGCTTGGATGTGGCCCAGGATCTGGACTTCTTATGTTGATATCTGTCATGAAGAAGCCTAGAAGTGCACAATAAAATATAATCTAGAGCTGAAAAACACCCAGATATGTTTTCTGAAATGCACTAAATATGCATAAAGAGTTGCAGGAAGAGACTAGAGAGAATTGACCTTAGGAGAGCTGTTGAATTTACTTTTCAATTTATGAGTTAAATGTTTCACAATGCTCTCCAAAGTGTAATACACTGCATGATTTTTAGTATTCCTATTCTAAATTGAATGTAGGGGTAGACATGAACTTCCATTAGAGTTTAATTCTATGCTTTGCCAGATTGTCTTGTTTTGCTAAATGTTAAGTCTTTGAAATGTCACTACCTTTAAATTGCAAATCATGATGATATTGCAATGCAACTAGTGAGCACACCTCCAGTGATTTCACTAATGGAATGCTATATTTTATACCAGCTCAGATTATGGTTCACTGTATGATAAGAAAAAACTGTAGATGGTTGCCTACAAATATTCTGTTCAAAGAGAAAAGAAAAAATCCTAACATCTGAAAGATGCTTGCTAATATGTGACATTTTCAGGTAACAGGCAAAAAAAATCTCTGGCTGAAAGCTATTCCAATACTTCTTAAGAGAATTTCAAAGGAACCAAATATTTTGTCCTACCTGTAAAAATAAGTCATTGGCTGAAGTTAAAAAATAATAAAATAAAATTCGGTAATCCTGACAAAAACTAACAGGAAAGCAGTAAGCTACATACCATATGGAGGCAGTTTCTAAATATGTGGAAGACAGGCAGGGGTATAACATCTTGATCTTTGTTTTGATCATGTCATATCAGTTCCAAATACTGAAGTGAGTATAATATACCTTAGTGTATACACACAGTGTGGAGAGCAAAACTGAAATCAGTGCCCAGCTTCCAATGACTTTTGGCATCAGGTACTTTCCTTTGTTCAAACTATCTTTTTTCCCCTTTTTTTTTTTCATCATTTACAAATAGAACCTCATGAGTTGATTTTTGATCACAGAGTCAGCTGGGCATTTATTTATAAAAATATGAGATTCTTGCTTCTAATTACTGTTCTGTTCTTTGTATTTATGAGAAATTGGTGTACATACAATGTAACAAACACAGGATGGCAAAAAACAAAACAAAACAAAACAGTGCTTCAAACAAACAAAAACCTGCTCTACCAGGGGTTTTTCTCCTCACTGTTAAGCTGTTCCAAGAGTTCTGTGGAGCTACAAGTTAGTTGTTTCATGATTGTACCGCTAGCATAATCTACTGCACTATAATGACTAGGCATGCAGAATATACTAGTCCCACATTTAATTTAAAAAAAAGAAAGTAACATCTGTTTTTAATAGGATGCAACTCTCTTTTGGTGCCTGTTTTGTTACAGCAGAGTCTGCATGAATACACCTATATCTTCCATAGAAAACTTTTTTATCTTACTGCTAGCAGCAGGTCAAATGACTTTTTTTTCACAGCAACTTTGAAAGCCTAAGAAATTACGTGGGTATTGTGCTCAGGTTAGCACTCTCTGGGAACCTATAGCAGTATGGAATAGGGTGGCTGTTTCACTGTAAATTATTTTTACCTTACCTTTTTGTAGCTAGTGGGGAACCAGCTAAGGAGCTGGCAACTTGATGGTGGATGTGGTCATGATGGAGCTTTAAGCCACCACCCTGGTTGCCTGCCCAAGAATGGCCCACATGACCAGCACGTCTGAGGTCATGCAGAGGCTTAAACTAACAGAATGACTGACTAGTTTATGCACTGTGTTTCTGGACCTGAACTTCATTTACTTTCAGCCTATCCATGATGTCTTTTACGTATAGGTACTGTGAGAGACTGGTAGCATGAGAGGTGTGGTGGAGATCTAACAGTATGGAAGCTCTCCTGAAGTGCAGCGTTGCAATCCTACTTATTGCCCTGCTCCCTCCTCGTAGGATCCTGAACTCCACCATCTCATGGTCACTGCAGCCAAGGCTGCCCCCAACCTTCACCTCTCCAACTAGACCTTCTTTGTTCGTTAGTACAAGGTCTAGCATTGCACCTCTCCTCGTTGGCGTCTCCACCACCTGGGTCAAGAAATTATCATCAATGCTCTGCAGGAACCTCTTTGACTGTTTGTGCCTAGCTGTGCTGTCTTCCCAACAGATGTCAGGGTGGTTGAAGTCTCCCATGAGAACCAGGGCCTGTGATCGTGAGGCTTCTTCCAGCTGTCTGTAGAAGGCCTCATCGATGACTTCCTCCTGATCAGGTGGCCTGTAGTAAACCCCCACAACAGTGTCACCCATGTTACCCTGCCCTTTAATCCTTACCCATAGGCTCTCAACTTGCTCTTCATCCACCCCGAGGCAGAGCTCCATACATTCTAGTTGCTCCCTCACATAAAGAGCAACGCCACCACCTCGCCTTCCTGGCCTGTCTTTCCTAAAAAGCACATAGCCATCCATGACAGCATCCCAGTCATGTGAACTATCCCACCATGTCTCTGTCACTGCAATGAGATCATGGCCCTGCGACCGCACACAGATCTCTAACTCTTCCTGCTTATTCCCCATGCTGCGTGCATTGGTATACAGGCATTTGAGAGAGCCAGTCAAGCACACAGGCTTCCCAGAAGAGGTGCAAGAGGATCCTCCATAGCCATGTTGCATGCTGTCTCCCCTGGTTGTATGCACCCGCTGGAGGCATCCTGACTTGAGCGGTGTTTTACTGACTCTCCGGCCACTATACCACTCCCCTTCCCCCATCTTGCCTAGTTTAAAGCCCTCCTTACCAGGCTGACCAATCTGTTGGCAAAGACGCGTGTGCCCCGCTTGGTAAGGTGGATCCCGTCTCTCCCCATCAGCTGTTGATCTTCAAACAGGGTCCCATGGTCATAGAAACCAAAGCCCTGTTGCCAACACCAGCGGCGCAGCCAGCTGTTAACTTGGAAAATTCGTCTACTCCTCCTCCTGTCCTTTCCCCTCACAGGCAAGATTGAGGAGAAAACGACCTGGGCTCCCAGACCCTTCACCACCATTCCCAGAGCTCTGAAGTCCCGTTTGATGGTTTCCAGTTTGCCTTTCGTGTCATTAGCACCCACATGGAAGATCAGCAGAGGGTAGTAGTCTGATGCATGGACAAGCCTTGGCAGTCTTTCCACGACATCTCTTATTCGAGCCCCTGGCAGGCAGCAAACCTCTCTGGACAAGAGATCAGGTCGGCAGATAGGTGCCTCTGTCCCCTGCAGCAGGCAGTCACCCACAACAATCACTCGCCGTTTCTTCCGGGGGTTCCTGCACGGCACAGGGTCTGCCAGGCCAGTTGCCTCCCTTGGAGCCATGCCCAGCTCCTCCTCGGCTTGGAGGGCGCTAAACTTGTTCTTCAAGGGTAAGTCTTGAGGAGGAGCAAGAGCCTTTCTCCTTCTACGAGAGGTCACCAGCTTCCAGCCCTCTTCAACAGCGTTATGATGCACCTTGACACACGGTGCTGAGCCCTCTGACACCTCCGCTGCAGTCGGGGCAGGGGACTCCCGGAGCTGAACAATCTCCGAGAACACCCTGTCAATCTCCCGCTCATCCTCTCGGATGCTACGCAGCCTACTAACCTCCTCCTGTAACTCCTTTATCTGGTGACGCAACTGGTCAACCACAGCACACCTCACACAGGAGAGCGGACTGTCAGCCCAGGCCTCGCGGAGAGGCCCCAGGCACTGCCTGCAGCCTGACACCTGCAGAGCTGCATCTGCTGTCTGAGGGTCTGAGGGTCTGTCTGGGTTGAACCCAGACCCTTGAATTCTCTTGTATATATCTTACACCTCCCACTCATATGAAATTTATGGACTTTGTTAGAATAAAGTCAGAGCACCTCCGCAATGTTAGCACATAAAAAATAAAACTTGTCAAAAGTAAAGCACTAACGTCACAAAATTAATCATTGTAAAGTTAGCTAAGACTGCAGTTTTAATTCAGCCCCCTAAGGCTGTTTATGCCGTGATCATATCCTCCCTTTTTCCCTGTAGGAGTTCTGGTCTCATTCACTAAGCAATGGTCACTCTGTTGTGGTGTGTAGTTGTTCGTAGTGTGGCTCTACACAGTCTGCTCCTAACTTCCGACACTCTGTTTTCCTTCAGTGCTCAGTAGTGTGTTGCCCCAGGACTTCTCAAGTGCTAATAAGCCTTCCTGTGTGTGCAGGGAGTATCACTTCCCCTTTTTTTCGGAGGCAGAGGAACAGAAAATCAGGACTTCCAGTTGCAGTGATCACGGTCATGACAGCTTATAGTTAATGAACCCAGCCATCTCTACAGCCTTCCTACAGACTCCTGCACAACTTACGTTAAGCGTAGAGGTCAGGATCAGGTTCGCTACTTAGGAAAACAGAGACAAAGCCAGGGAGAGTCAGGACTTCTGAAGCATGATCCACAGAGATGCACGTTGAGTTGCTGGAGATATTCAAAAGCCGTCTGGATGTGATCCTGGGCAATATGCTCTAGGTGACCCTGCTTGAGCAGGGAGGTTTGACTAGATGATCTCCAGAGGTCCCTTCCAACCTAAACCATTCTGTGATTCTGTGATTCTGTGATTCTGTGATTCTGTGATTCTTTAGAAAATAGGAGCTTATAGTTGCAGTGCAAAAGAAATATTTAATAGTTCTGAACAACACACTGCATAAAGCTTATTGCTGAAGAGTTCTTTGTCTTGGTTGAATGTGTATTTGCTAATAAAAAGCAGAAAAAGAGGATAGTTGTGGCCAATTAAAAGGATGGCATGTAAAATCAGTAAACATTCTTTTTTTAAAAAATAGGATAGTTAGAAAATTATTTTCTTTGCTTTAGGAGTTATTGTAATGATATGGATAATGAACTCAAATCACTGACAGGTAACAAAAAAGGGATTTTAGTCTTGATTTGTGCAAATCTTTTTTTTTTTTTAATTTTTGTGGTCTTACTTTAAGCAATTAGTCTGCTTTCCTTTCTCTAATTTACTGTCTTGTTAATAAGAAGCCCAAACTATTGGAAGCAAATATTGTTATAACGAATACTTGACTTGTAAAGTGCAAAA